AATCAGCTAGGGACGCAGGCTGCGTCATGTGAAATTACACGACACTAATGGAACAGGAGGGGGGAAATAACTCCTGTAGTAAAAACATTGATGAATGGTATTTTGCTTTAACTATCCATAAACATTATCTGCACGTATGTAGTTAAGTTTAACTTGTTTTTCCCCCTCTTACCAATGTATACTTACTTAAGCTGCCAACATCAAATTACAAACAAATAAATACATATAATTTTGTTATATTTGTATGTTTTATACTGTATTTTTATTTTTTATTTTTTGGTGATGTTTTAAAGACTTCAACCTCGTTGATAGTGTTAGTATTTTCTAGGTGGAAAACAAAAAACATGGCAGACATCTCAGTCCAGAAATGTTCAGTTGTAGGCACAGCCAAGATACTGCGCAGAACCCTCAAGCTCCCAGGCCTCTGGTAGAGGACCCGAGCTCAGAGGATGAAAGAGACCACCCGCAGAGAGTTATTGTTCAGATCATCACAGTTCCAGTGATTGAATTCATCAATCCCAATACCTACATTTTTTGGCAGATACTCAGACATCCTTCCTGAACTCCTGTGGTGAAGACAAGACATCTCACCTTGTGCTAGTCATGTGCTGGCCCTCATTTCCCATATATGGTTGTCTCTTTACACCAACTGGCTTACAGTACCTTGAAAAAAATAAAATAAATAAACTTATTTTCATCCAAACATGGAAATTGTACATACACGTTCTTTTTCTAAGCCGTTCATTTATATTTGTCATGTGAAGGGAAAAAGTGAGAATTCTCCAAGAAGGGCTTGCATTCCTGGCTGAGTGAAATATTCATTTGATCTTGTGTATTTCAGCTTGATAAGCAGTCCCCAGTCAGTGGCCACCCAGTGGCGTTGTTTACAATGCAAATTAGCAGGAAATACATTCCAGGCTCTGTATACGCACCCTTAAATCAGGAGAAAGGAATGTGTGAGCGGCTCACAGAGGGCAAATGTCACTCTACCTAGACAGAATCTACACTTTAGTCTGAACACAGATATTTCCCAGTCATGTAGCTATCAGCTCATGGTGTTCTTCAAACTGCAGTCGGTTTCGCCTTTGGCTTTTTCCCAGAACAGTCTGTCCCACCGACTGGTGGGAGAATACGTGACTCTTTATGTTAAGAATTTGAGTGCAGTGGCCTTCCATTTAGGCTGTGATGTCTTTTGACATAATGACGCCTGAACGCATCAGCTCAACTGCTCTCTTCCTAACCAGCTGACACGCACTCAGAGTGGAAATGAAATGTGCTCAGAGAAAGAGATTTCTTTTTTTTTTTTTTTCCAACAAATTTGAAAATAAAGATCAGAGCCTTTTATCTTCCGCTGCAAACCACCGAAAAGAGAAGGGAATTTTCAAGTGAATGTAAAAAGGCAAAATGACAACTTTCTTCAACAAAACGAAAAGTCAAATGGAATCCAAGTTGGCAATTATATCCTTACAAAAGAACAACATTCTTCAACTCTTGCATTTTAGCTTTAACAGCTTGACTGCTCCATTTAGTCAAACATCAGAAGAAGAAAAAAAAATGCTTTCAATACTACGAAAGAGAACACTATCAATATTTTCTCAGTGTGAGTTTAATTCGTCTTTTGATGTTCCTACATATTTCTTAGACCTGGAATTCGGAGAAATCATTAACCTCTTATTTTTGTTAAATGGTAAACAAAATATTTCTCCCGTCACTCAACGCCTAAGGCAATTGAATACTTAATACTCAGAGCAGTGTAGACGTGTGTATTTATCATAGGTCCATACTGCTGAACAAACTTTAGTCAAAATGGGAAATATAGCAAAGAGCCACTGGGGAAAGTTTCAGTAATTGGCTTCCTCCAGAGCAAGATGCCTAGAGCTGGCAACATATTTAACAAGACAGTTATTCACATCAGCAAATGTAGGTTTGGGTGGCTTTTCTATTGATAAGTAGAATCAGCATTTGTCAAGTACAATTTGAATTTACTCAAGTAATCTATGTCTGATTGTACAACGTAGGGGTAACAAAAAAAAAAAGAAAAAAAAAAAAGCAAAATCAGAAGAAAGCTGTTGGAGCCCAAATATTTGTTTTCACAGCACTGTACGACTGACAATAATACAATTTTAAAAACCATGTTTTTTTGTTGTTTTTTTATTTCTGCTGTTGCTCTTTGCTTAATATGTCGCTGTTTTAGAGTCGCCAGTCTAGCTGATCGACAAATGTACTCTGATTCATAACACCAAAGACAGTCAGAATCAGGACACCTTAAATAGATCCCATGAGGAGATGTGAAGATGTAAAAAAAAAAAAAAAAAAAAAATGAGACTGATGTGAAGCTTCTTCCCTCATTGTGTGGGAGAATGCGAGCGAGCAATACATTTTTGTCTCTCTTAGAAGATAAACTGCAGTTCTGGAAATGTTAAATAAAAAAAAATGTACCATTATTCTAATGTGTACAGCCAAAAATTCAACAAATATTTAGTTTTTAAAACTGAGATTCAGCTGATAGGTTTTCTGAAACACACATTCAGAGTGACTACTCAAAAAAATAAAAAAAAATAAAGTTTTTCACTTTCTGGTTTAACCCAACAACTAGAACATAAATTCCTCTCCATAACTAATCAATTATTTATGAATGACTGCCCTGTCTTCTGCGAATATAGAAACCTCTCTTTTGTTGCAATTCACTATATGATAAAGTGAAGAAAAAAAGATCAGGATGAACATTTCTCTAGAATAGACTCATGCTAACGCCATCTGCATGATTTCTCCCCGTCATGTTTAAAATCAGTGTTTTTTGGCCTGAAATAAGGAGATTACCCAAACACCTGTCCCAATTTTCAGCATGCCTGCACCAGATCTGGCTCCTCTTCCAACTCTTCCCCTGGAACTCGTGCTCCTCGTGCATCTGAATCATTTCTCCGCTGTTGCTGAGAGAATCAGGTCACTCCTGCACTGTGGGATCAAGTGTCAGTAATCGCTTTATATTCCCCGGCCATGCAAAAAGGGTCTGCTGACGGCTGACCCTGTAAAATGCCTGTCTGGAAAGTCTGATATGGTTTCTATTTTCTTTAAAACCATTGTTTACACAGCGGCTATGAAGCTCCACTAATCCTCTCATATGTCAACAGTGTAAATCCCCTTACTAATTTGCCAACAAATTTATTATTCTTCATTAATATTCCATCACATTCTATAATGTTCCGATGATTCATGAACAAAAACTAAAAAAAGAATATGTTTTGAACGGCTACCCTTCCGTTTCCTTCGTTGCTGAGATGCATTTATGTTCAGAGTGAATATTTTTGGGCTATTTTTCCAGACTGCAAACATGTTTTATTCAGTTGGGTTCTATTCCAGCACAGAAATGTCCCGTGGAGCTGTTGTGGAGACCTGGCTTGTGCAAAAGTGATGCAAAGAAACAACATTACACCACATTAACATTTTCCTAGTAGCAACAGGAACAACTTAGAAAACCGCAAGCTTTGGATTTTGAAGACATTATTGAATAAATCTCTCTGACATAAGCTTGGTTTCGTTAGTGTGACATTTAGCAAATTCTCACCGACCCAAAACAAGAAATGTTTTATCTGATTTACTTTCAGGAAAAACAGTGCATGTCTCTTTTTATCCTGTGTATGCAAACTTCGGAGTTAGACTGTATAAATTTGTGTATCCTGTCAGAAAAAAGTATTATGTTGGAAGAAAGCTTGTTCAGGTCTTCTGGACACATGAGGGTAGTTTAGAGGTTAATCTTACAGCAGAACAACAATTTGAAACATTTAGTCAGAGCTAAAGTAGAAGTGTTTAAATCAAGGCATGTTCACCTGGAATGGTTCAGGGAAAACACAGGTCTAAGCCCAATTGAAAATCTTTGGCGAGTCTGATCGCTTGCTGTTAGCAAACTATCCTTTCAATGTGGTAAATTCTGAGCTATTTTGAAAAAAAAAAAAAAAAAAAATAGATATATATATATATATATATATATATATATATATATATATATATATATATATATATATATATATAGTTTGACATTTTCATGGTTTTAACTTGAAGAAAGGGAGTTTCTTTTTATGACTTTGACTGCTGTAAGAGGAAATAATCCGTGTGGTTTCAAAAATATCCTCTGGTTTGGTCCCTCGGTATTATAAGACACATGTAGACATGTTGATGGAGTGAGCCCCGGTCCACAATCAGCATCCTCAGACAACCACACAAAAGGTGCCACAACGTTTTAATGTGATTCATAGCATTTGTCACTAGTGATGTTCGGAACGTCTGAGCTTGAAGCTGATTGATATAAATATCTGGTAAACAATATGAGACAAGTACATACAGTAAACAATAAACTGGAGCTCCAGCAGTGACTAGACGGAGTGAGAAACCCAAAGAAGGCAACCGAGGGCAACAATGACCCTCTCGCTCCAGATCAGAGTCCATTCCTCACTGTGTTTTTGTCCTCAGTCAGACGGTACTTTCTCCTTCCAAGCTAGTTTGTCCATTTTCAATAAGCCATGTGGTCCATACTCTATATGGATCTATGGTGTTTTTTTTTTCTCTTCTTCATAAAGCTCTCATGAAAAACAAATATACAATAGTTTTATAACAAGGATTCTTTTTCTTCAGAACTCTCTGTTCTGTTTTTCCTTGTTCACATTGTTGATCCATCAAATGTACCCTAATGGTTGCAGAAAACCTCTCGAATGATTGTCTTTTCAGAAAATACAGAATACATAGATTAACCAAACAAACGCGCTAAACACAGTCATACTTACACACTCTTCACAGAGGAGAAAAGCACTATTTAAAATGCCTGCAATGCTTAATATTGAGCAAAAAACTCTGTCATTCAGACAGAACAAAATATACAAAAAAGGGAAAAAAAAAGAAAAAGCAAAATATAAATAAACCAACAAAGAAAATCAAAGACTTGTCCTCAGGGTGGTTGCTAGGAGGAGAGTTGTGTGTCAAACAAAGGAGGAGAAGCCCGCGGTAGGTGCCTGAGCGGCACAGCCCAGGCTGCTGGGGGGCCGGTAGAGGGTGCTGTGCTGGCTGGGGGGGTCGGAGGAGAGCAGCGAGGGGGTGGGAGTCCGGCTTCCCTTGGGCCTGAACAGATTGCCCTGGCCCGGGCCCTGGCACTGGGGCTGCGGGGACGGGGCGCTCTGGGGAAGGAGTGGAGGCAGAGGGGGCACGGGCGGCGGGTGCGGGCGGGACTCCTGTTCCACGAGGGGCTCGGGCTGGGCGTAGCCGTACGCAGGAGGACGAGAGACGCCTTTCTGCTGCCGCCGCCAGGAGTTGTAGTAGGTGGGGTCGCTGATGTAGTGGTTGACGAAGGAGTGGGTCTTCTGTCGGCTCTGATCCATCTCGTACTCGCTGTCGCTTCCCTGCAAGAACGCAACAGTCAAAACGCCAGAAGAGAGAGAGACACACACACACACGCACACACACACACAAAAAAAAAACAGTCCTGACAGCTACATTTTCATCCACTCGTAATCGAGGCTAATTCTATTTCTACTACTGAGCTGTTCGCTGACAGAGACACAATGCTGAATCACAGCACAGCAGGAAACCTCTACTCACAACTGTAAATCTATTAAGGCATGGAACATCAAACAGGAGCAGACCATCATTTCTATTAGGAATCCATCAAGTCGGCTCACCTATAGCTCCGTGGAGCACGTACGTGATAAGTGTACACAAGAGCATCCTGGAATTGGATAAAGATATTGTTTACAGGATTGCTTTCTGGCTTTCTCGTAATGTTAATCTCATAAGTTATGAATGATTGTGTGGATCCTTTATCGTACTGGCTCAGAAACAAAAACGGCAACAACAAAAAAAAGAAAAAAAAAAAAAGGACAGCAAATTACTCCTGAAGAGAACGTTAAGCTTTGCGTGGATGACAAACGCTTACTCGTGCGCTAGTCCGTTGAGATACTACAGCCTAGCAGATGTCGAAGGACCATTTGTTTGGACAAGTGGCTGGTAAACAGTGGGAGGCTATGCAGAGGAAAAAGAATAACACCATGTTTTGTCTCCGGGGAGAACACTGTTTGTTCGGCTCGGACAATGTTGTGACTGCAGGTAGCAGATAAATGAGCGGGAGTACGGACGACTTGCTCGGAACAGCTCTTTTTGCCTTTTCCACCTTTCAGTTGCTCTTATCAGATTAAACCCTCGTCTGATTACCAATTCCGCACACCTTGTAGTGAGCTGGGGCCAGCTAAATTAATAAATGAATACCTGCTAGAGAAACACTAATTAGTTTTGAAGACATTTTAGCACACAGGGGGCACGTGCAGTAGCTGAGCACCGTTTTCTTCCTTGAAAAGTCAGTAATAAAAGATTCAGAGATGTCAGCAGTGACTCGGATATGCTAATAGGGAATACTTAATTTCCAGATGATCCACTTGAGGCGAATTGTCAGGCAAAATTGCTTTAATTTATTGCAGGAAACACTGGCCCACGGTCATAAAACTGTCTGCTTTTTAACTATAGCAAAGTGAGGTAAAATAATCTTTTTTGAAAAGGTTACAACTTTCCCCCGGAGAAATTTGTCACTTTGAGAAACGGATAGAGCCGAATTTTTACTTTTTAATTCCCGTCCGCTTCCTGTTACAGACTGTAAGCCAGCGTTGCCACCAACCTGAGAGTCAGAAACCTCAGAGGGTTTTTCAGTCAAGCTGCTGCTTTCCGCCGGGATCAGGTCATTATATTTAGTGCTGACATCCTCATCCGAGTAGTGCAGGCTTCCAGGACTGGGTCTTGGAGGAGACCTGAAGAGATTGGGGAAGATGAGCACAGATGAAACACTGAGTGTGTGATTTTACAGCTAAAATAAGACTCTGAAACAAATGTGAGCAAAGAACTTTAAAAAGAAAAGTCCTTTTCACACTCTTCACCGCGACACACAGGAAATCTGGTTTTCAGTTTTCAGCTTTGAATGTGAATTTTTGGTTGTGCACAATAATGAGAGACTCAAGACAGTGTCACTAACTATAAAAGGGAAAATGATCAACTATTTCAGAGAACCAGCAGAACAATGCATATTCTTGGATGGCCTAAACAGAACATTCAAGACAGACGGCGTAATTGGCTATTCCTCGTTACTCTGTCCTTCAAATCGCTGGAGACGATCAGTTTTAAGTTAGCACAGGGTATATTCAGCTAATTTAAGCCTTCATAGACCTCCAAACGGAATCCTTCACAAGAGACTATTCACTTGATCACGTATGCCATTTTGTAGTTATTCAACCTGAATAATTGAAAAAAATAAAAAAAAAATGAGTCAGAGATGCAGAGTTCCTGTAGAAAAGCTCAGTAATGAAAAACCAAATAAAGTAAGAAAAGACTCCTTCATTTCTGTTGGATCCAGTCATTATTTTCATGAACTGAAGATAGAGAAGCATCCAGATGCAATTGTTTTTTTTTTTTTCATTTCTTCTGAAGTAATGACTGCTTTTGTGCATAAGGTCTAAAACTGACCTGGACCATAAGAAAGTTAAAATGGGCCACTACCTTCACTTAACTGAGCTACGTCAGTGGGTTTAAAATGGGGAATTGTGCCAACCAAGCATTAAAGACAAACATGTCATGAAAAATGACATTTTTTCCTTTGCATGTTTTGCTCATGGGCTTTTGGGTCAGATTTGCAAGAGTAAAAAACAAACCGAAATAAGGCGAAGTAATGATAAAAAAAAAAAGAAGCTACAATAATCGAAGAAGTAGAATGTCTGAAGAGGTAATAAAGACAAAAAAAAAATCATCATTAGCAAAAGTGTATGTTGTTCTATAATGTATGTATTCAAAAATTTAAATATGTATGTTTAACAGCCTTCACAAGACTGGTCTACAGTCGTATGGTAACAATCATCCAATTGAATAGTTATTATGCTTGATTGATTGATTGATTAAACACAAGCAATACATAAGTATTTTTCTTTTACCTCTACTACTGTTAGTTTGCCTGAATCACGTCATTCTAATAAAACCTTAGTAGAATGTGTGAAGGTTCTCAGAACAGGTAAATAATAACCTTCCCTGCGAGACAAGAGTTTTCTTGGCTTGCTTAAAGCACCAGTGGCACAAAAACAAGTGTTTAAATGGAAAATGTTGAAAGTGGGGTTAGAAGAGACAAACAAACTGTGATGTCAAGTGAAATATTAATGCACAAAAGCAGACAACCTTGACTATTTCTCAGATAAAGCTGGAAATGTGTTGAGTTACACAGACAGAAGCGACATTACTGCTTCCTTTTAAAAGCGAGGTTGGACAACCCAGCGTGACGACGGCCTTGAAACTGATGAAACAACAAACACGTATACATCTCCTTCAGGTTGGAGAGGATGGATGTGTGAGGGCGGACTCAGACAAGTTTCAGACATCAAAAAGACTCAGCCTCATGAGTGGGAGCATCCTGGATCCCTTTGATCCCCTTTTCTGGCCTCCACGATCAAGGAGAACATGGCATATTAACCTGCATTTGAATACACTGGCCAGTACATTCCACGATAATGTGCACACCAACGTGTGCAAATACATCTGTTTCATCTGGTTTGTGCATTTGCGGTGATAAGATGCAGACTGTTAGGCTGTCACAAAGGTCAACCGTCTGACCATGACCCAATGCCTCTCTACTCAACCTCCTCCTGCTGCAGCATCTGCGAAACCCCTCTTATCAAATGTTTAGCTAAACATTACCAAACTGCCGGAGCACCAAAGTCCTGCTGACAGTAGTTAATGTTGGGATAACTCTCACAGCGCTGCAGCAAAGGCTAAAGGGCCAAGGGAAAAAAAAGCAGCTCTGACCCAAAAGCACTCTTTGTCTCAAGCAGAGATGGGCAGACAAAGAGCATAGGCAGATGCTGTTGAATGCTAATCGGCTGGCATTGTGCTGTTCCCCTGTATAGTTTGCTGCTTCCCAAAACACTGAATATAAATGAGCAGTGAGGAAGGATGCTCAGACGGGTGGCTCAATATCTGAAGACTGACAGCACACAGAGGTACAATATAAATTCTTATCAGTATTCCGAGTGAAACTGACTATGCATAAGGAAAAAGGGGGGAAAAAATGGTTTAAGTTTGAGAAGTGCAAATTTTGGAATAAAAAAAATAACGGCATAAAAGTTGTCAATTGAATGGTACAACACGACATGTGTTATGTTTCAGAGCCAAAGTATTACATTTAGAAACCGTGACATAGTTTTAAAAACTGAATTTACTGAAACAAGAGATACTTCCACATCTGTTTAAAACAGAATCACCATTTACCATGTAAGGGTGATGACATGTCACTTGGAATGTGCATCTGCTGTAAGCAGGAAACGGTTTTCTTGACTTACGAGAAAACTGTAAGTCAGTGGGATAATGTTGAATGTTTTTGGATAGCACATAAAAAGGATATGGGTGCACATTCTTACCTTATGAAAACACCTTAGTTGAAAGTAATTTTACTAACAGGACAGAATTATGCTCATTCACACAAAACATTCACTGACGGAAACATTTTTGCGTCAGGATGATTAGAAAAATTTGAAACGTGGCTTTAAAGGACGCAGTAACCCAAGACACACATGCATGACACAATCCACGCTACTGTGATGACAGGTCACTATGCTAGAGTCTGCATCCAGAACACTGAGTTGACTGTGGCTACTGTGAAAAAATGTGTTTTGTTAACCATGTTTTTAACTTATCTCTCCTCTATCAGTACAAACTGACTGCTGTTATAAAGTCCTCCACATGTTTTCCAGTAGTCCAAATGAATGCTTTTAAATGACTTGCTAGCCTTCCAGTCTCCCAGCTGATGCACACTGGAGCCTTTCCTCACTACTTTCTTTTTGGGTGACCATCGTGTTAAGAACGAATGCCCCTGTTTTGCATTCTATACGTGGCATAATTTATTAACTTTCAGCAAAGTTCTTGGCAGTCTTTTGGCTGTGTTCTTTCTATCAATCTTTTTAACCTGTTTCTCCACTGTAGACATACAAATGAGCACTTAGTGGAAGATACAAACTCTTACAGAGTTGAAAAGTGCTCTTATAAATAGGATTTAGGTTATTTCAACAGAGAAAAAAACAGCTTACCGGGTGTAGATGCCGTTTTTGCGGCAGAATGAGTTTTTCCCAGAAAGGCGTCTGTTGTTGAGCTCCAGGGCAGGGAAGCGTCCTTCATCCAGACGTACCATCTCTCCATGGGTCAGAGGAAGCGAGGTGCAGTTCGAGTGGTTGCCTAGAAATGTTTTTACGAAGATGACACTTTGTTTGCGTTGGGATGAACTCTGCACAGGAAATATGTCGCTCATATATTTTCAAAACAAGCAATTTTATGAATCACTTCTATTCTTTTGTAACATATGCAAAAAAAAAAAAGCTAAAAAAAACAAAACATTATTAGATAATAATTAACTTTAGTTAAACAGATCATCCACAGTAAAACAAAAATTCTAATGATTCTTTCCTTATGCACTACTAACTAAACTTGTTGGACGACTAGATTATTTAAAGAAATAAGCCTTATTATTATGGCATAATTACCTACGCACCATACGTAATTACCAATGCAGAAAACAAACTGGGTTTCTTGGAACAGTTGTGTCAATTAGGGTAATTGACAATCTTGCAAATTTCCCTCTTGATGCGATGGCATAGGAGCCACTGGTGCTGTAGTTTTACAATTACTCTCCATCTAATTAATGGCCCCGGCATTAAGCCGCTGCCAAGCCATTTGTCGTGTTATTGATCTTCGCTGCAGTTCAAGTCGGACAATAATATTTGTCTACTTCAGTTCCCTTACCGATAACCTTTACTCTCATGTTTCTGCTGTCAGCCAGACAATGTAGGAAAATCAACATAATGGGTTTAATTGTGTGTGCCTCCGCACTCTTGTTCTATAAAATAGACTTCAGCCGGTGAATCATTAAGCTTCCATTTCTCTGTAGACTTGTCCAAGATGAAGACCAATTCCGCCCTGCGGCTTAAGTTGCATGAGCACAATAAATGCGTGGTGGTCAGCCGCATTTCCTACCTGAGTCCGTTTTCTTGGTGTATTTTTTACTCTGGCCTCGGATAATGAGGATGAAAACAAGGAGGAGGATGAAGATGAGGCCGACCAGAGCAATAACGACCAAGAACCACCACTCCTCGTAGAAAGGAGACACTTTCTGGGCTGAAAAAACAAAAACAACAACAAAACAAAAAAAACAACCATTGAGAAGCATAAACATTCAAGTAGAATCAATAAAATGTACAGGTTTAGTTATAAAAAAAACAAAAAAACAAAAAAAAAACAGTATCACTGACAAATGGATTTCTTCCAGTAAATCATATTAACAACTAAAAATCATATTGTGTTAACAAAAAACAAGATGATGTGGTTCAAATATAATTTTCTATTAGTTTTGATGATTATGCAATACAACTAATAAACACCCCAAATTCGCTCAGATTAGGAAATTATCTAGGTACCACTAAAATATTGGAATGTTGGCCAAAAACCATTGACTGACAAGTGCACTTTTAAGCAGAATTTACCTGATATGGAAGGGGACGGGGCACTGGGGGAGCCATAGCCATAATCGTTGACCGCAATTACTCGAAAGTCATAGGTGACCCCTTCTCGAAGCATTTCCAGATTGAGCGTGTACGATGTCACTTCTTTGGGAATGTCTTTAATAAGAATATCCCACAATCCTTCATCTGTTTGGGCAAAAAGAAATGTTTACAGAAACCAGTGGCGCATCGCACAGACTCAGTAAGGTGTGGTCGCTCACCAGAAGGTCTGGCCTCAATCACGTATCGCGTAATGGGCGCACGGCCTTGATCTCCACTTGTCCAATGCAGAGTGAGGGCAGAGCCATATCGTGAAATAAATGGCTCTCCGGGAGGACCGGGGGCTCCTTAGGAGGTAAAAATAGCCGGACATCATGTCACAGATGTTCTTCAAAGGCTTTATTGCTTGACATGAGAGAGAGAAACCAGCGATACATAGCAGCCTTATCGGACAGTACCTTCGCCAGGCCCGGTAGTGATGTTGGCCTCCACTTCAGGGCCGTACGTGAGCGTTTTAGCCCGAATGCGGAAGTTGTAAGTGACGCCGTCTGCCAGGTCTTTGATCTTCATCCATAGAGGAGAGCTGCCCTTTACATCCACCGTCACTATCTTACTGACACCTGGAGTGCGAGGAGAGGAGTCTGTACAGGAAACACTAAGACTCTAGATACTGCTTTCAACAAATCACAGAAAACCAAGCTTTGAGCAAAGATCAGAAATAGTTACACACAAGACCAAAAAGGCAACCGGGGACAGGAATATTTGCATGGAAAGCAGAAAAAAATGTTTTATTTCCAGGAGCTCTTTAGTTGTCAAGAGAGGAACAGACCAAGAGATATTTATGTGTTTATTGCTTTGCTTGCTTCACTTTGTGCTCGCTACCCAAGGGACGACAGCGGCTTTAGTTCGGCTTTCCTAGTCTGCTCTCAATTATTTGACAATCTGGTCAAGGAAACAACACTTAGCCAGCTATTAACCATGTTTCTCGCAGTAAAAGAGGAAGCTGTAGAGAGGCTCACAAGAGCATTCCAGCGTAATTTATCAGCCTTGCCTTACACGTTACTGCAGGGTCTATACCCATCTGCAGCAAATTAGAACACAAGCTTAAGCAGCATGATTTAAAAACGAAAATGGTTAAGAGAGGAGAGGTTGTAAATCACTGCCTCAGAGAGTCATCTGAGGAATGTCAAGAGAAGAGGAACGCTGTCAGGCTAAAGGCGGATTTTCCTCACCGTCGACTGGAGTGCAGGGCTCATAAACCAGACGGTAGCCTTCGATGATGCCGTTGGCCTGCTTCGGCTCCCCCCAGGACACGTTCAACGAAGTTGTGGTCAGCTCGCTGAAGTGGATGTAGCTGGGAGCAGTGGGTGCTTTTGACAGAAGGATAAAATGTAATTACAGTCAGATCCCTCATTAGACTTCAGTGCCTCGCAAAAGGATTCCAGTCAATTCAACTTTTCCACATTTCGTCATGTCGCTCCCATAAACTCTAACCTAATTTACTTGAATTTCAATTTGAAGTCATAAACGGACACAAAATAGTGCACAGTGGGAGGAAAAGAAGAGATGGTTGCTGTTTTTCTTTCCCAATTTGAAAAGTGTGAGGTAAGTCGTATTGAGTCCCTTTCCTCCAAGGCCTTAAAATAAAACCCAGAAAGACCAATTCCATTAAAACGTAACTTAATCAGTAAATAGTCCACCTGTGTATAATTTAAGCTGTGCATAAATACAACCGTTCTGGGAAGGAATGAAAAGGTTTGTAAGAGGAAAATAGAAAGGAAACAGGCATCTGACAGGCTATGGATACAGTTTAAACCAAAGTTAGGTTATTATAAGGCAATAACCTATGCTTAAAATATCTAACATTCAGTTTGTACCAAAAATGAAAAAAATAAAAACAAAAACAAAACAATGGACACATCATGCTGTGGGGATGCTTTGCTGATTGGAAAATAAATGAAGCAAGATTCAGGGTAATACTTGGGGGAAAAAAGCGTGTTTTCAAAAAACACCTTTGACAAGGACAACGACTTCAAACACACAACTGGAGCTGCAATGAAATCGTTTAGATCAGACATCTGAAACTATTGTTTCTGGAGCCCTGCTGTCCTACAGTTGTCAGATGTTTCCCTCATCCAACACGTTTGAAAAAAATGGCTGATTTGTATCCTCAGCATGCAGTCAAGTTCTACAGAGTCCTACTGAGACTTTTTTTTGTTGAAAACCACCATATTCCATCAGATTTGGGTTTGTGGATGTAATGAGACTTAACCTGAAAAAGAATACCTTTACAAGTGTTGCAAAATTATTGCACTGTTCTCTGAAAAAATGTAAGCCATTTCAAAGTACATATTTATTTTCATAACATGTAATTGATGGCATCGCAAAAACAAATTTTTATTATTTTCCATGTAATTTATCATTTAGGACTTATTACTTTAAAAGGGGGCAGTAAACACGTCTCTCCATTTGCTTTAAGCATTTCAAACAGCGACACGACTTTATTTTATAATGAAAAGACGTTGAATTGCACCGAAGGGCAGACTGAAAACACCACGAGACGAAACAAAGAGACACAAGAACAGCAGAAAATATTCAGCCGTTGTTTCTCTAAAGGTATTCTACTAGATTAAGCATATTGATTTATCATTTGGATAAAGGAGCCTGTGACTGGAAAAAGTCGACTGCGGCTTAGAAAATCAGCCTCCGACCTTGAAGAAGAGCTGTGAGAATTCTGCCTGCTGAGCCAACCCCGATTCAGCTGAGTGTCAGGATTTAGCCGCAATTCAGCATAAGGAATGAAAGATCACAAAAGCTTGTATTGGCTGTGTTCCCAGTCCTCAGTGGTGAAAAGAGCCAAAATTCCAGACAGTGTTTTAAAGTTCTCAGCACTTTCTAACCTTTATCAATGTCATAAGTTTCAAAGGGCACAAAAGACCAGAATCATCTTGACTGTAAACATTCTTTTTTTTTTTTTGCTGAAATCCCACAGGAGGGAATCTAACTTGCTTCTAAGCAAAGACGTAAAATTGTGGCCAGAATCTAATCAGCACCCATCATTCTTGATAGTCCTTTTTTCATGTTGTTCTACTGTTCCTCACTGTGGAGTGTCCTGAAATAATAGGCAAAAAGCCTCTGATCTCTCATGCTATTCCTCAAGAGACGACACTAAACTGCTTAAAAAAATAATAGCATAAAGCTTCCTGCTGAATTCAAGCAGTGGCTGAGTTTGCAGTGTTCCAGTAACTCAAAAACCCCTATGAATTGACTTTAAAGTCATCTATTATTCTCTTTATAGGCTTCTTCTGGGACTACATCATATAACCCACATGAGAACCCTACACAGTGTCTAGATCTGGAGAGGGGGTGGGTGTATCATTGAGTGCAAAAACATTTGCAAAGTTAGCATTGGGTTGGAAACGTATGAGGCTGCAAAGTGGAGCAGGATACTGAAAAAAAAAAGAAGAAAGGTTTGGCACCAAAATAAATGCCGGTGGTCTATTGAATAATCTTATCCGCATTTGCACCTGCTTGCTGAGTGCGCCCTCTGGTGGGCAGGGAGCGTGGCCCATCCCCTGCAGCATTGAAGGCTGCCACGCTGATCATGTAGGTGGTGTAGCCTGTCAGGTTTTTAAGCTTCACCCCGAGCTCTGGCAGGAAGAGAGTTCGCAGGCGCTCCGTCTCGTTCTGGAGCTGAAACTCCCAGAAGTAGATCTGCGGACAGAGTCATCGCATGGCTTTCTGGCGGGACGTCAGACAAATACTGGAGGCACAATTGAAAGCGCGCACAATCCTGATACCTTGTAACCCTGTATGTCTCCGTTCTGAGCATCCAGAGGAGGCGGGTCCCAGGTAACGTCCAGCTGAGTAGCTGTTGAAGACTGGACCACCACGTTTTGAGGAGGAGCGGTTGGGACTGGAGGGAAAAAGGGAGAAAACGTTCAACGAGAAGCTGTTTTTGTTTGTTTAAAACCTGAGGAATAATAACTGGAGGTAAAACTGGGTGCAAACTGAGAAATTAACCCTACCCGCCTCTCCGACAAACACTTCCTGCGGTGCACTGCTTGGACCCTCCCCAACCGCATTATACACGCTGAGTCGGATCTCGTAGCGCTTGTGTTTGTTCAAGTCTAACAGGGAAGAATGCAATGCGGCATTGTAATCGAGCGCTTAAAGATGAAAGAGCAAAAAACTGAAAATAAAAATCCAGGAGAAACACCCATTCACACAAATGCCACGGCGAGATAAGATCACACCCAACACAGACAGCAGAGCGGTTCAGAAATATAATGCAAACTGATCAAAAGACGGGACTGTTGTGGAAGCATGTGGGAAGACTTGCCAGTGATTAAAAAGAAGGAAACCATGCTGAAATAATGACAGGGCAGCTTGCAGAGATTAAAGTCTCACACACATACACACACACACACACACATAAATAAGAAAAAGCGGTGGCTACAGCTGAGTGGGAGGATGCTGCTGACTATTGCAGTAAATAACACAAATGCACGACTTTGTGGGAATAATATTCACTAAATGGTATTTAAGCTAAAGGAGAGTGATGGGAAATCCACAAGGGGCAATGTAAGACTTACTGTCGAGTTCATACTGGGTTAAAGAGGATTCTGTCAAGTTTCTGATGCTGTATGGAGCTGGGAGGTCGGATGCAAAGTAGGAAAAATTGGGAGATACGAGAATTTTATTATTATTTTTTTTTTTTTTTGAAAAAGACAGATACAAAAAAGCATGTCAATAATATTATTAGAGCTTACATGTGAAATCAGCCCAGGTTGCAGACGGACTGTTTACTGTGCGGACAGAGAAGCTGCGAAGGCGATCGTAGTGCAACTCCCTGTACCTGACTCTGAATCCCAGCAGAACTCCGTTTAAGTGATCCTCTGACGGGGGCTAAAAGGAAAATGAGATCTTCTTAATGCACAACATCTTACTATTACGAAAGAATTGCCAGTGGGGGCGGTTGGTGTCATAACAAGGATAAAATATCGGATGCCCTTAAAATTCTGAATCAACATTTGAAACGAGGCAAATCATCCAGCAAATACCTGCCAACGAACCAGTACGGACGTGGTGGTGTGAGGAGTAACAGACAGTATGGTCGGGGCTTTGTCTGGAGCTTCACAGGATTAAAAGATATGTTAGCAGTGCTGACATGTTGTATAGGACAGCTTTTGCAAAAAAAAAAAAAAACACACTGTTGACAAACTATACGCTGTAAGAATTCAGAACCCACTGATTCACATGAAGAGTATTTTAGTACAACAAAAGGGTCCTGAAAGTAACAGCTTGTTCGGTCCACCGATGAAGGTTACTTACTGTCCTGTAGCGTAGTAATGGCCTCGCTCTCCTCGCTGTATTCGCTGTCTCCAATGTCGTTTGTGGCTTTGACTCGAAACTGGTAGGAGGTGAAAGGCTTTAACCTGTAAACAAGAGGAAAAAGTCATTTATAGGCAGACGTTACACAGGCGTTTAAGTAAATCTGACCATTTAAGAAATTCAATTTAAAAGGTGAAAACTCAAATACAGATTTATTTCACATATATATACATATGTTTAATTTAGGTTACAGTTAATCACACCTCAAAATTTAATTCTTTGAGCATCAACTAAAGTCAATGAAAAAAAAAAAAAATCAATCGAGACAGTGTATGTCACGGCTATGTTACGGCTGTTGACTTGACATTTGTCCAACAGACAGTAAATGACCCGCTCCACAAAGAGGGTAAGCGACAAAAGGTCATTGCTAAAATTGGATCGCCATTGCACACCGTTGATGGAAAGTTAAGTGGTAGGAAAAACATGTCAGAGAAAGCAAGCAACCGAATATCTGCAGCCTTCAGGGGACTGTGATGTATTCCACATTCGAGAGTTTGACAGAGATTGAAAAGGTGTGTCAACAATCACTATTGCAAAAGCTGATTCAGTCAACTGAATGGTCAGTCAGTTCGACTTGACTGGTCAGCAAACAGGCCAGATCTGAATGCCATAGAAAGTCTGTGGACCTCTGTCAAGGGACAGATGAGAGACACCAGACCCAACAATGAAGACCAGTTGGAGACTATCAAAGCAACCTGGACTTCCTTAACGCCTTAGAACCACAAGCTGATCGCCTCCATGCCATGTTATATTGATATAATAATTCATGAACAAAAGCCAAGACACACTGAGGCCTATGCTTATATATACCATGCAACACATATATTACTTTCATTATTATGATATTTACCTGTCCACTATGTAGGAGTTTGTTTCATGGCTGACTGATGCCGAGTGAACTGTCCAGTTGCTGTCCGGCAGCTCTCTATACTGCACTGTATAGTAACGAACGGGAGATAGGCCGTCGCTGCCTGGTTCCCATGACAACAGAACTCTGCGAGCCTGGACATCTTCTTGAGGAACGACGGGACGACTGGTGGGTTGAGGCCGAGCTGAGGGGCACACGCACATGCACACACACACACACGCACCCACGCAATCCCGCTTAATCTAAATATCGAGATGTAAATACACCTTAAAAACACATTTGAGCTGCAGTATCTGACACTCACCTCTTTTCTCCGTGGTGACCACCAGAGCCTCTGCGGCCTCACCCCAACCTTTGCGCGTCTGAGCGGTGAGACGGAATATGTAAACCATTTCGGGTTTCAGTGCGGTTGCTGTGTACTGTCGCGCGCTGGGGCTCAGCACATCCACAGTGGCAGCGTTGCTGTTCGAAGAGTTTCTTCTATAGGTGATCTGATAAGCTGAAATACGTGAGTGGGAGTGAAATCAAAGTGTAGAAATGTGGTAATATAGTTTAAAATTAAAGGGGCATTTCATTGAAATCAAATGTCTAACGATTTAGTCAAAATGAAAAAAAAAAAAAAAAATCTAATTTTGGTCGTGAAAATGTTACTTTAGCAAATATTTTTCTTGTTTTATGTTTTGGTCCTCCATAAATGATTTCACGTCGTTTTTGACTTTCAGGACTCCTGCAGCCTTTTGAACCCAAACGCTATTTAAAAATGCAACACAAATAACTCTCCACTGCCTCGCCCGACCGCGTAATCTTACCGAGGATGATGCCGTTGGGCTGTGCAGGGGGCTGCCAGATGAGTCTGACTGAGGTTGTTCTGACTTCAGGGAACAGAATGCCAACCGGAGGCCCTGGTACTATCACACATACGATAAAATAGAAAATATTAATAGTCCTTGGAGATTTCTCCATTATGAAACAAAATAACCTAGCAAAGACAGCAAGAACATGTTTTTACTTAGACACAATACGCTAAAACTTTAAGCTTGCAGGGAAAGCCGCAACATTTTCAAAATAAATGTTGGCACACAACTATGCTTTATTTATTCACGTATTTATTTATTTATTTTTAGTGTCGTGTAAGCTTAGGAATTTTTTTTTATTTTATATAAACTCGTAATAACCAGTATCAAAGTTGTGTAGAATATAACAAGTCAAAAGTTTTAATCTATATGAAAACAAGGTAGAAACAATAAAAAATAAAATAAATAAATACTCCGAGACAAAAAAATACATTAAAAATAAGAGAATATAGTTAGAATGCAGCAAAAGTATGACGCATAGATATTTTAACAGTGCTGCACATTTGACTTTTTCATATTCAAGGCATAACAGACCACACCCACTTGTCTCTATAGAATGGACTGTAGCAAATATTATTAAATAAGCTATTCCAAACCAGCAGTTTCCAAATATTTTATTCCAAACTATTGGTTTGGAATGAAATAAACATTTTGATCATCTAATGTCCGATTTGTAAAAGTGGTGTTTACCATCATCCAGTGTCCTCTCTAGAATAGGAGGCGAGCTGCTCCTTCCGTCTCCGATTCGCGTGAAGGCCAGGACTTGGATCTCATACAGAACATACTTCCCCAGACCAGTCAGCTGGACACTATGACTGTTGTTGCCCTCTACTGTCCAGAAGTGGGGTGCTGTGTCCGAGTCTTTCTCCTTATACACAACCTGAACGACGCAGAAGATTTACAATAATGTGACTTCTAAAAAAGAAAAGAAAAAAGAAAAGTAGTTTGAAATAGACGAATGTCAAATTAAAATGACCTTGTAGCCCAGGATGAGTCCGTTGCGGTCTGCCTCTTGGACTTCTCCCCAGCGCACGAGGATGCTGCTGGAGGTGGTGGCAAATGCCGACACATTTGTGGGGCCACTGGACGGCACTGCAGTAGAAGACTGTATTGTTTTACTGCCGTTCAATAATAATTACAGGGTCTGAGTTCTCTACATTCACTCTTAATCCTCCTCACCAGACTCCCTGGTCCTGCCATGGACTGCTTGGCTCCAAGGTCCTGACCCGATGCCGTTGACAGCCTGAACTCTGACCTCGTACTCCGTCCACTCTTCTAAGTCCTCTATGGTGAACTCTCTCTCCAGCCGGTCCATGATGACGTGAGACAGAACGCCCCCTTTTGATCCCGCTTTGAAGTACTGGATGCGGTAGCCGACAAAATCTGGATTGCCATTGTATTCCCACTCTGGAAGAGGCTGAGAGGATTGTTTTTTGTTTTTGTTTTGTTTTTTTACCTTCCCACTCATGGTTTAAAACCAATATGAATTATTTCTTCCTTGTCGGGGTCCATAATGAAGTAATAACACATGAGAGGCTGCACTTAACAGCAATTTAACAACGCACGAAAGGCATCAACAAAAACTGTGAGAGGCAGTTAGCAGTTTATAAAGTGATGCTTTGTGCTTAACCCAGTTAAAACAGGACTACAGGACATTTATATAAGGATAGTGATTCTCTAAAGTGTACACACATGCCTGGTAAAATGCAATTTTTTCAATGTGAAAATTACACTTTCTTCACATATGATCTTACACATATCCTGTAAATTTCTAGTAAAAAAAAAATCACAAGGGTAAAAAAAACAACAAAAAACGTATTTTTATTTCATTTTTATCTTATGTTACCACCTGTCATCATTTATAGTAAATCTGATAAAGCTGGAATGTATAAATTTGGAGAAGTTTTGAAGGGTTGAATGGGAAGATTCTGTCAAATCAGGATATGTGTTAGACTCCTACCAAAAAAAGACTAAATGCTAATTTAGAACAAAATGTGGTTCAAGAAGATCTTCTTGTGTGCACAGTTGTGCTATTGAACATTTTTGTTTTATATTTTAAATCTCAGTATATATATAATCTTTTCAAGTTTCCTGCTTCTTGACATTTTAATGGTGTCCGTTATGATTCAACTTTAGGTTTTCTGAACAGCAGCCTAAAGAAGGCTGGAGGTTTTATAACGTCCAGCTTTAGTGCCGGTCATTAAGCTTTGTCATCAGCCTGCAGAGCAGATTCCACTGCTGACAACCCCCTGTTTCTGTAAATCCAGGTAGATCCGCTCTTTTTAATCTTGCAATGGCTTCAGTGATATGACAAATCTCTGTGACTCATGTCTTAAGCACCGGTGCAGGGATGGTAATAGACAGATGTGGTAAAGAATACACAGCCAAATGCTGATGCAGAAAGCAGGCATCCCAAGGACACCAGAATGTTCAGCTTTCAACATCCCTATCAGTAATATTGCATGTGCTCATTTATCTTATAAAAAAAAAAAAAAAAAGCCCCAATAGTGCAAAAGCGAGAGCTGAAAAAGTTACTGAATGTCAAACTTTATAAAACCTAATCACCTAAATCGAGTTTTTACTAAGCTTATCTACCAACTCAAGGACATTTTGCCAATTTCCTTTTTAGTCCCATCATTACATTTAAAGCATATACTCAAGAGAGACGTTAAAAGAAAATAAGCCATTTCAAATCGTCCATCGCAAGATCTGAAAAATGTCCCTGAAAATCTAATTAAACTACACAGTGTCGCGCTGTTTTTATCAGGACCAGTAGGCAGTGAAGTCTTACCACCCAGCGAAGCCACAGGCTGGTCTCACTGGCTGTGCGCAGGGTCACGTTGGCAGGGGAGATGTCTGGAGGAGCTTGAAGCGTCTGGATCTTCCTGGACGGCTGACTGGGAGGACTGGTGCCAACAATGTTGACCTGACGCATCCTGAACCTGAAATAAATGAAACCTGCTGTTAGCAGACATAACCTCTCAGCCATCCATATTGTTTAATATGAAAAAGAAAACAAACAACAACAAAAAAAAACCTCACATAAGATAGTCACTGTACTTTAACAATGCTATGACATTGAGAGTGCCTCCAAAGGTATTCATATGCCAAGGATTATCTTAGGTTTTGTTATGTTAGAGACAAAGACATATTTTCATGTATGAATATGATTGGGATTTTTATGTGAGACAACAATACAAGGCATAACTGTGAAGTGGAAAAACATGATTGATCTAGGTCTCTAATTTAACCTATCAATACTTTCCAATGTATCTCTGGCTTTACTATTTTTGTCCTGCTAGGAGGTGAACTTTTTACTGTCCACTATGTTCTCTTATTATTTTATTATTTTCTAAATAATGTTCCTTTGCAAACATTCGGATCTTTCATAGAAGAACTCTATTTAAACTGAATAATTACATAGAAATTAACACTATTTCCAAATTTTATTTCCCAAGGCAACTGTCTGCTCTGAATTTTATTTAGGATTATCAGCTTAAAGTGGACACAATATGCAAGCATCATAGCCTATCCCAAAAAAAAAAAAAAAAAAAAAAAAAACATCAATGTGTGTAGAAAGAATTGCATAATTATCCTTTCAACTTATAATAATATGCTGCTTTGTGTTGGTCCAAAACATCAAATCACATTAAAGTACATTGAAATTTGTGATTCTAATAAAACAAAATATGAAGTACCTTTAGCAAAGTCATTTAGAACCTTTTGTGATATACTGTGTTTTTAAACATACAACTTAAAAAAACGGTAGTACCAAAAGGCAACCAATTTAAACTGAGGAGTAAAATACGGGGCGAAAGAATAAAGACATTTTCAGTTAAATTTGAGTGAAGGTGGGAGGATGCTTTTTATATGCATTGCATGAGTGTAAGAGTTTGTTGGTATGCATGTGTGCACCTGTAAAAAGTGTAAGGGTTTAGGTCGAGGACCTCCAGCGACCTAGCATCAGGTTCATTAGCCAGCTCCTGAACCATCAGCCACTCTTCGTTTTCCCCAATTATACCAATCTGAAATGCACAGGGACATGAGCTTGTATAAGCAGCTAAGCAAATGAAACTGACAAAAAAAAAAAAAAAAAAATCCAGTTAATGAATGTGCTGCTGTTGGAAGTTAAAATAAAGGTGAATTTTGTCTTACCTGAGCTTCAACCAACCAGCGAGAAATCGACGTCTTGCCATCATAGCCTGGTTTGAACTGCAGGCTGACCGAACGTGGGCCGATGTTAGAGATGGCCAAGTTGGTGGGAGGACCGGGCAGCTCTGCTCAAAGAAGATTTAGAGGGAACCAGCAAACAGATCATGCGTCACGGCAGAAAAGGAGCCGGCTTCTTGTCCAATCAGTTTCTGTAATTGTCATGTCACTTCTCAGCTCTCATTAGAACACTGACCTGGAGGCACACCGGACGATATGGTCGATGCGGAAAGCTGACCTTGGCCTTTGGAAGTCATGGCTGCCACTTGAATGGTGTAAGTAGTGAGTGCAGTGAGTCCTGTAACCTTATACTCCTGAGTCAGGTTGGGCAAGTAATGGGTCACTCTGGTGTTGGTCCTGTTGAACTCCTCCCAGGAGATACGATACCCTGAAATACATTTTAAAATACTGTAACATAAACAAAAAAACAAAAAAACAAACAAACTGATCTTCTGAGATTTCAGTAACATAAAAAAGGGCTCTGAAGTGTTCACTTCAATTTCTTGAAGTATTGTCTTGTTACCACCACACATTTCAATCTACTTTATTAGGACTTTATATGACAGACCAGCACAGAGACGTGAATAATTGTGAAGTTGACCTAAAATGACACATGCCTTAAGAAAAGCTACCTCATTAGTGAAAATAATCCATGAGTAGGATTTCATCTCAATACACAACTGTTCTGTGAAGACTTCAGAGGTTTTTTATTGATTGTTTTTTTTTTTAGAAATACATGAGGGAACAATCAGGATTATAAAGATCAAAGTACAACATAAAGGTCAGTGATAAAGTTGTAGAGAAGGTTAAAGCAGAGTTAAGTTATGAAACACATCAAAAGGGGAAAAAAACAACAACAACAACAAAAAAACGTCTGTTCGGTCAATCCATCATCCAAACAAAACAAACAAAAAAAAAGAACAGAGTAAATCCAAATCTACTCAAGCGCCTATACTGAGAAAGTAGACAAGGAGAACATGAACTACAAACAAAGTCAGGGTGTAATTGGAGGTGCTAGAAAAAAAAAATTAAAGTAAGACATGCAATCTACAGGTGCATGGAAAGTGGCAAAGATCTAGAAAGGTCAAAACTCCTGTGACAGTTGAGGTACTGAACTCCTTCTCCCTCTACTTTATTAACCAGCCAACACATTCTGGTTGGTGATAAAGGGGGTAGTGTTGCTCACATCTTCACCTCAACAATATAGTACATTGAAGTTTGTAACGAGACAAACTTGGAAAAGTTCGGAGGATTTAAGTCATTTTGCAAAGCACTGACTCATTACACTTTTTAGCTACCTGTAAGGATGCCGTTTTTCTCTTGTGGCTCCTTCCAGCTGACCTTTAATGACGTGTCCAGGATGTCTGTGAAACTAAGGTGTCCTACAGCGCCTGGGGCTAAAAACAGAACAAGCAAATATCGAATCAGGCCCCAAAACATCACTCTTTTCAATGATATTTTAGTTAAATTAAATCTGAACAAAACCTCGCATTTAAACAAAAAATACATACTATCCTCATGTGTTCGTAACCGCTGAGGGGGGCTACGGGGCCCATCTCCAGGGGTAGTGAAGCATAACACCGAAGTGTAGTATTCTGTGAACTTTTTAAGGCCAGAGATGTAACCCACATGCACGCTGTCCTGAAAGTTGGGCCGCACCATAACCGCCGTGACCTCGTTAGAGCGACTGGGTTCCCATGCCAAGAGCTGGAAATGAGGCGATGGAAAACACGGAACATTGTGCAAGTAATTAAAAATAATACAAAAAAAAAAAATAGAAGAAATTATCGCAAGCAATTAACAATAATTAAGCTCATGACAAGCTGAATAATGAGATTTTCAGCACAATGATATATTATTAGTTCTTTATCAGATGAAGGCAAAAGACTGCCCTGCTACCACTAGCCACTAGAGTGCACTAGTTAACAGAACGGAGGTGCTCACCTTGTATCCTTGGTTGATTCCATTGATAAACTGAGGACTTGGGGCACTCCAGGTGTAACGCACAGCGGTGGAGTTGACAGCTTCAGTTTGTACGTTTCCCGGTGGCACAGTGGGCACTGATCCAAAGAGAGGAGAAAACAAGAGATTCAGGGAGGCATAGGGATTAGAGAAGACACGGGGAGACAAGCAAAGGGATGAAAAGAAAGAGGAATAGTAATGAGTTGGGGGGGGGGGGCAGCGGGCCTTGGAATTTTACAAGAGCTATTCTTTTCAGACCGGACTTCCATTCGAAGCGTGAGAATCGGGGTGAGGGAACCTCGATATTAGCTCATTTGGGAAGGTAAGAACATAGCAGTCGAACGGGGTGTGAGAGCGACTGCCTCAGGCGGCTTCCAGGTAAACCCTGCAGCGGTTTGTTTGAAGTGAGCACGCCATCCTGATGTAACACCGGAAAACAGTTAGTGAGTTGCACATTAATGACGCTGATGGGACCATATCAGTCCTGATGTCCTCTCTGAATTCTCTCAAAATCCCATCTAAATGTTAACACTGATCCAGATTTAATTATTCAGGGGAATAGAAAAAAAAAACAAAAAAACAATTGCTGGATGTTTAGCTGAACAACGTAAACACCTATCTTATTGGCGTTATCCAATAAAACAGCTCAGATGATGAAATCCATTTTTTTGCAGTTGAGGCAAAATATATAAAAAACTAAACACTTAAGGTTTTTCCTAAAAACCAGTCTTTTGTTTTATAAGAAATGTAGCACCACATTAAAGCTTATTAAGATCTCTGACTTGTAAATTAAGCGGGTATCTCACAGAGAGTGTTAATTTTTTTTTTTTTTAATTTCACAACAGAATCCATTATTCCTGAAACATGTGAAGTATTTTCTAATCTGACTGTGACAGATTGGGAGAAATAAATGCCATTCCTTTACTAATAACAACAGACAATGTGCAGTGGAAGAAAAAATATTTTTCAGTAGGTAGAGGAACTCTTACGGGCGCTTTATTTATTTATTCATTCTGTTTTGTGTGTGTGAGCACCTGAAAATATTTAGTGATGCACCGTTTTCCTAGAAACACTTGATTTAGCATGGCAGGGATTCACAGTTATGAGTCTGTTTGGTCTTCCAGAATTTTAAAAGGCCTAAAAATGCATAAAATATGCAACGCTTGAGGTGTTCCATATGGTAAAGGCTGTTGCAGGATTTCAAACTACATATTAACTTTGATGTTATTGGCCAAGACATTTACCAAACCAAGCAAAGGCCGGGTTGTCAGTATTCCTTGTTTTCTTGCTTGTTCAAAGCTTTTTTTTTATTTTTATGAATCGCTCCTATTAGTGTTCAGATTTATACCCAATAATAAAATGCTATTGACAGTCACTGTGGGAATGTGCAATTTGAAAGGCTGAACCTCATTATTTTCTAAAGAGCCAGGCATTTTGAAGCGTAGCTCCTTCTGGAAGCAGCATAGATTTTGGTGATTTATAGTAACTGTGGCTCTGATACTCACAAGAGAGAGAAAGGAAGACGAGTATATTTGAATCAGTAGGCATGACGGTACCACGGCATGCGAAAGGAAAGTTCTAATTACTTTACTCAGCGTGAACAAATGAAGAACAAATCATTCTAAACCAAATCCTTAAGAAACACGGAGAGGTATGACACAAGAGTGACACTTGTCAGCCAAATTAGCATTTGGTTGACAGGATTAATTAAAGACGTTCTAAGAAAGTCCAGCAAACTTTTTTAATTATTCGGAATAAATAAACATTTCTCAACTCACAAGCTGTTACAAGTCTGAATATCATTGACAAATTATTTGGCCGTAGATTAGGTGCATGTTTTGGCAGAGCGTGGTACAAGTTAAACATAATCAAAGTTTTTGAACCTTTTGTTTTAGTCCTAAAATTGCGTAATCCAATATCCCATTAATACGATCCAGTAAAACAGTTGCTTGGCTGAGTAAATTAATCCAGGAACTAGTAACAGAGTTAAGATGTGCGTAAAGTTTAAAGGAGGGATAGATTATAAAATATCATCAGACATACCCTGCAGCGCTGCTCAATCCAATTTTTCACAAATGTAAAACCTATGGCACAGTTGCAAATCTGCAAAGACATGGCCGTCCTACACTGACAATCCAGGCGAGCAAATAATCACAGAAGCAGCCAAGATAGTACCTTTGGAGGAGCTGCAGAGATCCACAACTCGGGTGGAAAAAATAGTCAACACAGCGAGCATTTATTGTGCACTCCCTACATCAGGCCTTTAAGGAGGAGTAGCAAGAAAATCATGGTTGAGAGAAAGTCTTTAAAGTTTGCCTCAAGTTGAGAAAGAGAAAAAGGTAACCCCCCCCAAAAAAAAAAAAAAAAAGAAAAAAAAATACATAGAAAATTGTTGTTGGAATTGATCATTTGGTTTCCAGGGAGCTAAATCTCCGAATGATCGGGGAGATGGTCTTAATCAATAGTTCTTCTCAGGTTGGCGGTCGTTCAATGTTTTCTTTGAACCTTACCTGCTTGTTTAACTAAGCGTGGACAAGGTACTCAACCATTTTTTAGACGAATGTGTTTCTTTTGTTTGTTCAGCCAGTTAACTCAGATCCATGAATCATTCAGATATAAAAAAATAACAAATACTCTCCTAAGCACAAAAGATGAATGTCAAGTGTTGTGTCCTCAAACAGCAGATAACAAAGCAAACAACTGTACAGTGCAGTAAAGAGGTTTTGCTCTCTTACAGATTTGTTCTCACTTCCATATTATAGTTTTGTTAACCTTGTTTCAGCTCACCAAACAAGGCTAAAATCAGACTATAACATCCAGAGTTAAAGCTTGAAATGACTGTCCTGCTACAATACTGAGCTCAAGATCATGGCCAGGCATTATCCTACATAATTTGGTCATTGAAAGTCTAACTCATGGTTCCACTGATTAATCGTCATTGTGATATTAAATCGGCAATGAAAACCGTCTCACTGGAAGTCTTGATGGATCATCATGATGTGTCCTGCCAAATGTGTGACAGGTTTTTCTGATCTTTTGGTTGCATTGGTTCCTTTGCAACCAGCTGGAAAAATCACTAATGGTAATTGCGGTAGGCAGCAACTCCGGGGAAGATTGACCACTTTTCCATCTTTTTTTTTTCAATTTGTGGTTAATGGCCCTCATTGTGGTTTGCTAGAGACCAAAAGCCTCGGTGAATGGTTTTGTGAACCTTTTGCAGACTGATAGATCTTGCTGATTTATTTCTCATTTTTTCTTGAATGTTTTCTAAATCAGAGCATGACCTTCTGCTTTTTGTAATGGAGATCAGCCTACTTCCTGATGTCAGAGATGTTATGTTTAATTGATGTCCTTATTCTAAAGGTCTGGCAGTGATCAGGCCTGGGCGTGCCAAGTAAAACTGAATCAAAAATGTTGAAAATCATAGATAATTTAGGATTTAATAAAGTGGGCTAGACTCATTTGGAAAGTCTCCTCCCCCTCTAGTTAGATCATCTTTTAAAAACAACTTAGATTATTTTAGATGACTCTATATATACATAAAAAAAGAACTACAAAAAACCCAAAAACAAAAACAAAACTGACAGAAACAATCTTCTCTTCTGGTTGTTCTAAAGCAGCACCAGCCAGCTAATTCCCAAATAGGTATTAGCTGAAAACAAAGGTGATCAACTCTATTAAAAATATGTTTTCTATATTTTGTCACAAACTTCACGGAATTCTTAACACAAAAAATAAAAGCAGAAACTTCAAAACAAAGAAGAAAAAAAACTTAACACACTGTAAGTAAGAAGGTAATGAACTTTGTGTTGTACAGTGTTGCAGCATCTAGAAAGATGTTTTAGTTAAAAAAAAATGCTACAGGGCAAGCAAGCAATGTCTTTACAACTCTGCTTTTCTGTGCTGACTGCAAACTTCTAAAATAAGCAACATAAATAGTGCTGCCTTAACGATGTGGGCGCTGGTGTGTCTTTCTTAATGCTACTGCGGTGAAAACTCCCAAGAAAACTCCTAATTTGATCATTAAAACCAGATTACTGCATTAAGTTATAAGCACAAATTTCATGCTGCAGGCTGAATATCAAGCCCCCCCCCCCTGACAAAAAAACCCCAAAAAACCCACTTAAACATAAAGTAAATGGAATATGTAAAACTAAATGAACTGCACTCCCTCTAAGTAGGGAACTTTTGATCCACATAAACAATCTTTTATTTGAGCCAGCACAACCTACAAGTCCTGTTTTTGTTGCTCTTACCTCCTTGCAGGGTCCACTCTGTGACTTTATGGCTATAGACGCCTGTGCCTGCTCCGTTGTAGGCTGCCACCTCAATCTCATAGTTTGTCCAGATGATGAGGTCCTCCAGGAGCAGGCTGCTCTGGTCAGGGTTGGTGATGTTTTTCATCTGACAATCGACTGGAAGCCCTGACAGACAATACCTGGCAGCAGTGGGAGTAATTGATGGACGCGGGAGGCAAGGACAATATAGTCAGGCAACAAGATTAGTAAGATAAAAAAGAACACACCTATATATATATATATATATATATATATATATGCACCTCATTGAGCTAAATCGTAACACAAAAACTGGCATCACATTTATTAACTCGTCCAAACATCACTGACCCGACAGGGCAACTATCGTTGGAAAAGAAAAAAAGAAATGGCAGGTTTTCTTACCTGATGATGTAGCCTTGAAGAGGCCCATTCTGATGGCTCTCTGGGGGTGGCTGCCACTGGATCATTATAGACTGATTGGTGCGGCCACTTGCGATGACAGTTTGAGGTGGTGCACTGGGAGGCTCCTCGGGTAGAGTTAGTCTACAGCGAAAAAAAAAAAAAAGAAAGCAAAAGAGGAAAGAGAGGTACAAGAAGAGACAAGGAGAGAAGCCATGCATTAATTATCACACGTTTCTGCATATTTCTATCCCATTTCATCATAGCGCATCAAGTCATGATAAAGCCTTGCTTTTGTATTTCTTTTTTTTTTGGAAAAAGCTCCACGAAGAAAAGTTGTGGAAGTAGGGTCGTGTTTTAGCCTAAAACATATTCCCCATACTGCTGTCCGCAGAGGGACCACTCGCTGTGGCAGAGAAAAGATCAAAGAGGCCTTGGCGAAAGTGGAGCAGCACGATGGAGAGAATGATAGCGAGGAACAAGAAGGAGAGCTCCATGAAGATTTTTCTTTTAAGTCAATTTAAGATGACATCTTGATTTCTTCCCAACGTGCCGGAGCAGCCCCTCTGGAGGAGATAAAGCAGAGTGTTTAGGATCAAAGAAGTGCCTTGGAAAAGTGTTGCTCTCACAGATGCAGTAACCCCCTGTCTCCTTCTTCTCCCCTTGTTTTGGCGAATTCACCAGGGGATTCTGCAAATGAGCGCTGGTTACAAAAGCACCGTGATGGTATGCGGTTGCTTTCACTTGCAGGTGTAAAAGAAGGGAATGTTGACAAGGCCCATGTCAAACAGTTGTGTGTACAGGCGAATAACATCAGATCCTGTTTGAGTTTGCCCTTTATGAGATTGTTTGGTCTCGCTAATCGACAGAATCCACCTGAGATTCTGGATCCGCGCCTCTTCAAAGCCTCGGTTTATTTCACTCGTGAAGCACAGCAACGACAGTTAATATGAAGGAAAGAGAGGAAGCTGGGTCAGGGCACCCATCAAATCTTCTCAAAGCACATTTTAAGCTCATTCACACTTATATCTTGAAAAAATATGGTCCGACCGAAAGCTGGTTCATCTCTCCCTCAATTGCGTAAGAGCGAAGATTTGGGGGGAAAAAAAAAAAAAAAGAAGAAAAAAAAAGTGGTCTTACAGGATTCTCTATTGAACTGCCAAGATAAAATCTAGGGGGAGAACGAGTTGTTCCAGGGCAATAAAAGCCCTCCAAGTGCAATACTTTTCTCCGGACCACTGTTCAAATTAAGTTATATAGACTCCGATTGGTGTTTTAGGGATTTTTGAGCACCCACCGATCCGTCTCTTTGCTGAACTGTCCTCTGCCGACGTCGTTGACAGCACACAGGCGGAACTGGTAGGAACGTGCTGGGATGAGGCCGCCGACAACCACCCCTGTCGACTCAGGCTCAATGTTAGCCAACAGTACCGTCCAAGGGGCATCTGAGATAGAAAACACGAGACAAAGCGAGTTGTGAGCAAAACACGCTAAATATTAAAGCGTTTTTTTTGTTTTTTTTCAGGATGAGGAAATTTTCAGGAGCATCTCCTGTGTGCAGGCCAACTCAAATTTGAATTCTGTGCAATATTATTGCTTCATTTTCTGTAATAATATTGCAGTCACCTATACAAACAAGTCATTTATTTTGCATGCACTCCCTCTAAAGATCAGATTGCAATTCAATTATCTAAAACCCAGATCCCATCTGCATCCTCGGATCCATTTTCTTTTTAATGAGTTGTCATTTTCTCAATTTAACCAAAGCTTAAATGAGAAATGGTCGAACAATTTAGCCTCTACGGGTGAAAACATCATAACTTTGATTTTATCCGGAGGAAGAAAGAAAGAAAAAAAAAAAGGAGATAGGAGCATTGGACATCAACACAATTTAGTTCCCATGGAACCGATGGGTGAGGCAATTCAGTTACACTGATTGCAAAAGGCATGAAAGGATGCAGCTGGCAATTTAAGGGAAACAATAGAGACGTAATATAATAAAGGGGCTGCAAATTAGTACATCACACAAGAAAGAAGAAGAAACTTGACTTTTGAAATTACAAACAAGAAGAATTTAAAGTGAAGGCTTACTGTTTTCAGAGACCTCCATGGTATACCGGATCAGCGGGCTGTTGCCATCGAAGGCCTGGGCCCACGTGAGGTTAATGGCTCTCTTTTCTGTGCTACTCAGGATCGCCACCGGGTTCTCTGGAGCATGAGGCAGTTGCCTGTATGCACATGTGTGTTTATGAGAAACAAGTGATCAATAATTATCATGTGCTTAAGTGTTTTGAGTTTCTGATTTTGTGTGATTCCTGTAAAGTTTCTCTCAGGTCTATAAAAAAAAAAGAAAAAACAGTGCACACATAAATTTATTTTTGTTATAATTATTAATTCAGACAGGATAAATAACAGAACTAGACAGCTAAGCTGTGAGTCTTCCATTGTAGATTTTAGAGGTGTTTCATCGATTGCAGAGGGGAGCGACAATAAATTGCAACAGCGAAGACAACAGCCATCAATCATTACCTCCCCAGACTAAAGTAGGCAAGGAAAAAAAAAAAAAAAAGAGAATAAAAAGCCCAGACATCAAGATCAAGATCAGTTAGATAAGGTGCAGACCTGACTCGGAGGTGGGCACTACGGGAATCGTTGCCCCCCACCGAGGTCACCCTGCAGGTATATGTTCCGATGTCGCCCGACCACGTCTGGGAGATGTGGAGGGTCCCGTCAGGATCCAGGCGCAGGCGGGGCGACGAGTTCACGTCAATCACCGAGCTGCTCTTCTCCCACACATACCTGGCAGGATTGAGAAGCGTGTCAAACGCACATTCACCGGGACACATACACCGGCTTGTGCCTCTCCACTCTTTACTCCCGAGTGTTGTGACAGTAAATCTGTTTTCCTTGTGTCAGATCATACGGCAAACACAGAAGCTGCTGACACTGATGAAAACCCTTGTGAAGTGGGTAACAAAGTGTTCTGAATGTGAAAAAAAAACATCTCTCTCTCTCTCCGTCTCAGCCGCACATACAGCGCACATCATATCATCCAGCCATTCCACTCCATGTCATGTCAGACATCCACCCGCACATACGATCCCTCTTATGCATGCATCGAGGCATGCAAGTGCCACAAGCCAGTGTGATTAATTGCAGCTATTCGGGCTCTCCGGCTAATCTCCTCTGTGTTGCATTTAATTAAAGGCGCTGTCTGAGGTTATTACGCTGTTTACATATTCATCTGTTTACCCTGCAATCTGATCAATGTCGCAGGCCCACAGGTGACAGGCACTCTAATCACTGGGCTCCCAAGACGACATTTTGCTCCCTCAGAGACAGCTGCGTGTTCTCCGTTGCACTCACGACTGACTCAGAAGCGAGGCGAGGCCACGAACTAATTCCTCAATCCGATCTTCAGTTTCCGAATCTTCTCGCTGGAGTCTTTCCAAGGCTGGATTACCACAAGATAGCGCCCAGATTTCATAAACTAATTAAATCCACTCTCGGTTGAGTTTGTCTTCCAGTTTGAAAATGCTTCATGGTAGATCAGACCATCAATTTGCAGCGCGGATGAGCGAAAGTTACCTTATGGTGACGCTGGGGTCGTGGGTCACGCCGCAGGTCATGACAGCCTTGGTTCCCTTGATGACACTCTGGTCTTGCGGTGGTTTAGTGATGCGGGTACGTGCTGTGAAAAGACCCAGAGGCTGGTGCTCAGAGACCACATGTTTGAACAGTGGATTTAACAGAGCTTAGTGGACTGGATTTTATCTTTTACTCAGTGTATCTCGGAAGCAGGATAAATCATCGCAGTAATTTCAATGGGTGTTTTGCAACGGCTGCTCAAGGACTGATAGTTTGCATTCATTTACAGTGAAAAGATTATGTTACCTTAGTGATTATAACTAGAATATCTTAAAAATTAGCGGTTGAGTGTATTACTCATAATTTCCTTTTGGAAATGAAGGTCTTTCAATGAGTGACCTTTGAAACCTGAGCATCACTTCTGCTATTTTTTTATTTTTTATTTTTTTTGACATCTCTATGAGAAATATTGCAATGAGAACCTGGTTAGGACAACTTTAAGGCAAAATTCTGCTCTTTCCGCCTTTATGTTATGATACCAATGATACTCAAAAGAACTTTCTTTTTATTTGTAGCAAAATACGTTCACTTGTCTCCTTTTCATCAATTAGAAATAAACCAGCTATGGGAACAGGATTGCTTTCTAAAAAAAAAATGACCGATTTCAGTTGATGTTTTAGCTTGTATTGTAATGTGGTCACACTTCATGTGTTTAAGTCACACCTGTGAGGTGATGGACAATGTTGAGCAAGGTGAAGCAGCTGAACCAAATACCAATAATGACTTTTTTTTTAACCTGAAATAGTTTTTGCTAGTACAGTGTCACTCAAACTACTTTAGCATCCCTGAACAACTTCCTTCTTTTTTGACTGCTTGTCAATGAGATTGGTATTTTTCTTTTCCTTCCTTCTGATGTTGACTAGAAAGGATTGGGCTCATTATACGGAGCACTATCTTTCCTACCCTGTGTAATTTTCAGTGCAAATACCGAGCGATGCAGCAGGTATGCAGAAAACTGTCAGGATTTCAGCACTCAGAAGCTTGATTTTGAAAGGGTACATTTTTATCTTGATTAAATAATGATTTTCAACAGCATGGTAAAACAAACAGAAAAATGATTTGGTCTCAAATAGAAAAAAAAAAAGGCTGATTTTACAGGAAAGTATTGGCTTTAATTTACTGAGCTATTTAATTAGATTTCTTTGTATGAGTGGACTACTTTAGTTTCACTGACATCTGATGCGAAACGTATATTATGAGAAAAATAATGATCTTCTTTAATACTTACTTCCCCACTGTATTGGCGAAGACATTTCTAATGCCAACTGTGGCTATTCGAGCGGGTTATACCTGCTTCATTTAAGCTTACCCCACACCACGAGGTCAGCTGAGGCCTCATCAATGCCCCGCGAGTTGCTGGCCATGCAGGTGTAGGTACCGGCATCAGACAGGTGGGAGGGGCTTATGAGCAGGCTGCCTGACTCAAGCAGGGTGAACCTAGGCAGCTGGACTGAGCCGCTAGCCAAGACGCGTTCACCTGCAGGGAAGGGGCAGGAGTGATTGATGGTTTCGGAAGGAGGACAGGGAGCAAAAGAGGGGAGGACATGGTGGGGCACATGGAAAGAGCGATTAGGGCATTGGAGAAATGTCAGAGTGGCATAATAGGAGTGTAAATAGTGCAACAGAAGTAAAAATATAAAGATTAGCTGGGGAGCATTTATATTGTGGATCTTTTCTGTAGGTCTTGTGTAACTTTGGCAAGTAAAGACAAAAAAAAAAAAAAAAAAAAAAAAAAAATGCAAAATAACCGCCCCACAAGGAAGCTCACACTGTTAGCCCACGCACCTTTCTGCCAGGTGATGGCTGGGCGCGGGGCTCCTGAGGTCTCACAATGCAGAATGACTGACATGCCATCAATCACCGCGCTGTCAGAGGGGCCAGCGGTGATGTTGGGAGCAATACCTGGGTGGGATCAGCCACACACACACACACACACACACACACACAGACACACACAAAGAAGCACGCATATATTTAAAGAAAATCAGGTGAGACAGAGATGATAATGAGAGACATAAACAGCTTTGTCCCTAATAAAGCAGGCGGCAGCTGAGAGCTTAATAGACTTGACAAAGAGGGCAGCCGTCAGGTCTCATTCCCAGCAACAGCTCTAAGACTCTGACAAGCCGCTCTCATCTCACTGCTTCTCCTGCTCAGAGTCTAATTCAAAAAATAGGGCAATAATTGCGCAAGCTTCCAGTGTTAGAAGTCTGTCACTGCCATGGCGATATATAGATAGATGGGTGTCGGAGAGAAGATGGGGAGCGCGACGAAAGAGGATTAGAAATAAGACAAGAGGATCAGATTTGCGAGTTCGGAAATGCAAAGACTGAGGAAGAAATGAGAATTCCCAAAGAGGCGTACTTGTAACGGCCAAGTAGGTGTTTGTCTGGATTTCTCCTGCGAGATTGCGGGCGAAGCACTGAAACATCCCAGTGTCGTCCGGCAGGAGGCCGTTGATCTGCAGGCTGCCTCCAACCAGCACCTTGTACCTGGGGATCTTCACTGGGCTGATAGGCACTGCATCTTTATACCACACAATGTCTGGCTGAGGCGTTCCTGCAGAAACAAAAAGATTTACCTCCTCAACATGATGTCTACTTGTTTTTTTTTTTGTTTTTGTTTTTTTTGCTAGATTTTTATGCTTTCTTTGCCTTTCGCTCATCCAATAGCAGAAGAAAATGACTGACCTCGTGCCTGACAGGGTATATCTACCACCTTCTCCATTTCTGCGGTGATGTGACTTGGTGGCTCTTTTATGAACACAGGATATTCTGTTTCAGAAGGACAAAAGCACAGCTCCTTTAAAACATTTTACAAATGATCTTGAAAGCAAATTTTCATTCAACCCTTCTCTGTCGTACGCAACGTCACTTAAATTACTCGTGGTGGTCCAAGAATCTGACTCTAAATCCTCTCAACACAGGAGCGAGCATGCTGAGGCAATACCCAGCTGCTCTGAGTGGGACTGAAGTGTCAGCTGTGTTTTAATTACCAAGAACATGCAGGTAGGCGCCAGCGGTGACCGAGGGGACACTGCTACTGCGAAGAGATGCCTCGCACTCATAGTAGCCGCTATCTCTGACCGCAGGCAAACTGATCACAAGCCTGCGACCAAAATCCCTGATTCCTGTATTGACCACTACGCCGTCTTTCCTCCAAGTGATGCTCATTTTAACAAGAGGCCTAAAAGAGAGAGAGAGACAAAAAAAGATGAAAAGGAAGGGGGAAAAAAAAGAGAGCAAGAGATAGAGAACGTGACATTAATACAAACTTTTATGCTGTTTCAAGGTTAAAGAGCGTTGAGGGTGAAATTTGATACATCTGTCATTCTGATTAAATCTTTGAATTGGAGATAATAGTCAGAATTCAGAGCCGGGACCGCGCAAGATAGGGAGAGCAGAGCAAAGCCTTGAATCAAAGGGAAGAATGGATGAGAGGTACAAAACGAGAGATGTGCAAAACACTTTTTCGATAGTGTTCAAACAAAAGATTTCTGGACTCATTTAAATCACAATATCTGATGTTGAGGAGAGATAAAAGTAGAGATTCGATCATCTCCATGTATGTATGTATGTAT